AACCTTAAGACACCTGATTATTACATGTAGAATCTTGAACACAATAAAACCATTCTCGAGAGTCATTCACTCTTATTCAAACTGCAAATTACCTGACTTAACGAACAGAACCACCCGTGCCTTATTAGCACTCTAACACCGCAGGATACGACCTCATTTCAATACAAACAAACATCTTCCTTCTCTATACACTGAGCATTCTTTATCGACAACAGTTCAAGACATCCTATTATTTTCACACATCTACGAAGCACCATATAACCTTTGTCAAAATTTTGCTTCACCCGTGCCATCCTCGGCTCAATATTCTGCAACCCGAACTGATCCGCCAGCATACCTCGAAACGGAACCAACTTAGCACGTAACCGTGCAATCAGCTAATCACAGCAACCTCCCCAACTTGGCTCGAAGCCATGTATCAAGACACACTCAACAACTCATAACACTTTTACTCTAATGATGCCACAATACCATAGTGAAATTAAACTCAAATCACTTACAAGTGTATGAAAACACAGATCATCTAGTACTGAAATCCTCTGTAAACCTCGCATTCATCCCCACATCAGCTGAGTCCACTCTCTTAAGCGACCCAAATTTTCAAATTACAGCACGTATCTTTCAATTACACATGAGATCTTCTAACGTACACATAAGGAGCATACCACTTAAGAACACTCCGCAGGAGATAACCCACCTGCTCCGCCTCAACTTAGTATTCCAGCACACCTTCCACCATCATATACGTTACACAGTCATTTAGTCTTCCTGAGTCTGAACTCATACCGCCACATGTAATGCACTTCACTTTCCAACTAGGAGACACGAAAATATTCTTCACGCGCCCATAATTCGGGCTACACATCAAGTCACAATAGGAATCGAACACTTAACAGTTCATTTATTATCCAGCAGACTTCTTCGTCACTATCAAGTCATATAGATACATCTCGCAGCACTAGCATACTCATTACATGGATATTCAACCGCCATTCCGGCTAATAGGGACAATACCGAACATATAAGTTCAAAACACTTGCTCATACAATCAGCACCTCGGTGCTCAAGCCATAGGCAAAGATCCGTCCTCAAGTCCTCCAGACTGGCCCAGCATACTCACGAAGATCACATCTCGCCCCTTGGTCGGGGAATCGCAAGCCATCGAGGCACATATGATACTGAGCGCTCACGTGTGCATACAGACGTGTGGAAGGAATTTTAAGAGTTATATTCCAAGCTGAATCAAGTACGCACGATAAGAATTCCAAGAATGTGAAGTTTTCCTAAAGGTTCTGCAGCCTCTCGAGGATAAATATAGACGTCTCCGTACCGATCCGCGAGACTCTACTAAACCTGCTCATGAATCGTGAGACCTAGTAACCTAGGCTCTGATACCAACTTGTCACAACCCAATTTCCAAACCCGATCGTGATGGCGCCTCTCGTGAAGACAAGGCCAGCCAACTAACCCAATTTGTCTCTTTAACAATTATTAAACATAAATGAATGGATAAATACGACTAAATGGCATTTATAACAGATAATTTACAACCCTACACAGCCCGACCGGGGTGTCACAAGTCACGAGCATCTAAAGAAATATGAACACAACTACAAGGCCGATAATATACAAAATAAAATTTAGAGTGAGAAGACGAAGTTCGGTGCCGCGAACGCCGGCGGTCACCTTGCTCAGCTACGGTAACAAAATCCTCAATCAGCTCAAACCCGCTACCGGGTAACAAATACCTGCAACTGCACGCGAGGTGCAGGGAGTAAAGTGAGTACTCCAACTCCGTGAGTAATAAAAGTAAATAATAACTGAGCAGCAAGAAATCGCATAAAGCACTCCATTATGCTATATAGAACAGTACAACCCGTTGAGAAAACAGTAAAACCGTGAAAATCCCTTAGAAAATATCTAGGCTCAGTTAAAACCTCTTTTGAAAATATCTTTTGCAACAGTTAAGCAAATGAATGCGAACAGATAGTGCAAGTCAGCACGTAAGCCAGCCCCTCGAGCACAGCACTCCATTAACAAATAACACCAGGGTATCTGGTAAACAGTACAAGAAGTAGCATGGATGCCAATGAAATGAGAGTGCTGAATGTCATGACACGTAATACAAACAGGAACCAATGCATGAGTGCAATGCAATGCATATGACCGGTACACTCAGGTACCCACTGCGGCGTGCAGTCCGAGCCAACCATGTATTTAACGTCGACGGCGCTCACTGGGGGTGTGTACAGACTCCGGAGGGGCTCCTACAGCCCAAGCGCAATAATCAAGCCATCTCGTGGCATCAACCAGGCCCTCGGCCCCAATATCAATACAGTACCGCTGCGGCGTGCAGCCCGAGCCAACCATATGTCCAGAAATCACTACGCCACTACTGCGGCGCGCAGCCCGATCCATGCTCAGTTCAGAAATGCTCATAAGCCACTTGGGTATTNAACTCAAGCCCTAGCTTCACCCCTTTGATGAATTTCAACCAATTTCCATGTTAAATCTATCATAATACTCGTGATTTAGGCCAAGGGACTTACCTCCAATCGATTCCCAGTCAAAACTCCCTTTAATTATCGCCAAAAGCTCTCAAGGTCGCTCAACAATGGAGGAAAATATACCAAGCTCGCGGATGAAATATTCAATAAAAACCCTTTATGACCAGTCCAGTTTTTGCTTCTGCGGTCCCGCTTCCGCTTATGCGGGACCACTTATGCGGCCAAATCCCCGCCTCTATGAATATTCATTTAAAATTCCAACACCGCTTCTACGACTACCCGTCCGCTTCTGCGACTACCCATCCGCCTATGTCTACAAATTATCAACTAGGGAGTGGAGACCCTATGTTGGAAAAGCGACTAGGGTGTGGAGACCCTCTGTCTAAAAATCATCAACTAGGGAGTGAGAGCCTATGTTGGAAAAGAGACTAGGGAGTGGATACCTTATGTCTAAAAATCATCAACTAGGGAGTGGAGAACCTATGTTGGAAAAGCGATTAGGAAGTGGAGACCCTATGTCTAAAAATCATCAACTAGGGAGTGGAGACCCTATGTTGAAAAATCAACTAGGGAGTGGAGACCCTATGTCTTAAAATCATCAACTAGGGAGTGGAGACCCTATGTTGGAAAAGCGACTAGGGAGTGGAGACCCTATGTCTAAAAGTCATTAACTAGGGAGTGGAGATCCTATGTTTTAAAATCATCAACTAGGGAGTGGAGATCCTATGTTGGAAAAGCGACTAGGGAGTGGAGACCCTATGTCTAAAAGTCATTAACTAGGGAGTGGAGACCCTATGTTGGAAAAGCGACTAGGGAGTGGAGACCCTATGTCTAAAAATCATCAACTAGGGAGTCGAGACCTTATGTTTGAAAAGAGACTAGGGAGTGGTGACCCTATGTCTAAAAATCATCAACTAGGGAGTGGAGACCCTATGTTAGAAAAGCGACTAGGGATTGGAGACCCTATGTCTAAAAATCATCAACTAGGGAGTGGAGAAGCTATGTTGGAAAAGCGACTAGGGAGTGGAGACCCTATGTTGGAAAAGCGACTAGGAGGTGGAGACCCTATGTCAAAAAATAAAATAAACTAGGGAGTGGAGACCCCATGTTAAAAAATGCAGCTAAGGATTGGATACTCTATAATACCATGATTTTGAACTTTTTGTTTCTTTTCTTTCTCTTTTTTTTCTTCATCATTTTCATCATCATTTTTTTTCTTTTTTTAAAATATTTTGTTTCAGAGAATGAGTAAATGCGGGAAAGAATTTTGGAGGAGACTTACCTTTTTGGAGTTGTTGCTGCAAAGCTGTTTCTAGCCCTTACGCAATTTCTTTTTGGTTGCATCTGCTTCTCGCAAGGTTGCTTCTAGATTGCACCTGTTTCCTGTTTTTTCAAACAAAGAACAATTTATTAGTTTGAAACGGTGGTTGGTTTTGTGGCCTTGAATGCTTCGCTCTCTTGATCTCGGCCCTTTCTACTGCAACTGGTTATTTCCTAAATACTGATTGCATTTCTGACCCTGGAAAACCTTTGGCTTTTCCAAACTTTGTCATGACGGTTAGTCATGTGGGACTTAACCTTTCAACTTTGTAGACATGTAATTTTTGACTCTCCCCAAGATTTTACACATTTTAGCGTTTAAATATTTAGTTTAGGTCTAATATCGCTATATTAACTAGCTTTGACTCTTTTATTTTATTTTATCATAAAAACAAAAATTACAAAAATAATTTCATTAATGTTTTATAGTCATACTACTTATTATGATTTTTATTTTTATATAATATTGAAAAAATAACAAAATAGTTTCACGATATAATATTATTTATTTTAATTAATTAAAATTAGTTTTATATTTTATATTATAAATTTTATATTATTTTTAGGAGAAAAAGTATAAAATTTGAAGCTAATTTTGTTTGGTCTTAATTCAAGAGGTCCAAAGAATGACCCAATTTTAAAGCCCAAACCCTAAGACCCCCTTCTATTTTTCTTCTTAGACACCGTAAAACAAAAAACCCTAGGGACTGACCTAAGGAGACCCCTTCATCTTCTTCTTAACCAGGAGCACACCCAAAACCTAACACCTAATAGCCCAGCCGCCAGTCCACCTCTCACCACCGGTTGCTCACACCGAACAGCCACCACCCCAACTCCCTCCTCTCAAATCTGCCGCAACAAAACCAGCCGCACACCACCATGACCACAGCCGCCGCCCGCCAGACCTCATACCAACCAACCAACGAACTCCCTCATCCCAATAATGAGCCAGCCACTGACCACTCAGACGCCAGCGCCCACCACCTCTTCATCACCTTCAGCCAACCAACCGCACACCACCAAGACCACAGCAGTCACCGACCTTACTCCTCTAGTCCCTTCACGCCGACCAGTCACCGAATTTGATCACTGGTGGGTCTGGTCGGCCACACACGGCCAGAAAAATTTAAAAAAAAAAAAGAACAGAGGACAAAGAGCAAAAACAGAGGGAGTTTTAGAAGAGCAAAACTTGAAAAAACTTCAGCCGATAGCTTTCAGATCTAGTGGAAATTCCAAAAACGAAATAATTCTTGTTTCGTGTAGTCATTTCTAAGAAGAAATTGAAATGGAGTAGCCGAGGTATTTGGATTCGAATCAAAATTTTCCGGCGCTTGGTTAGAGTTCGAGGTTGCAGGCAAGGTCTCCGTTCAAGGTCCCTGTTTTCAGCTTAAAATTCAAGAGAACATTGATTTATTGAGGTTCCCTCTAATCTCTCAATTTTACTGCTTATATGACGTCATCTTTCTCATGTTTTCATGATATTCTCTTGCCTCGATTTGAATGAATTTGTGTTTGATCAATCTTGAAATGCATCTGTTGGCTTCAGTTATTTAACATTATTATTTGTTGGTTTGGTAAAACTTTTTAATGTGCATTAATTGGCTGAAGAAGGCTGTAATTTTGTTAAAAGCATATCTTACTAATTAATTGGGTTTGTGATTGGTCTTGAAAATTGATTTAGGCCGTAGGTTGATTTTGGGATAAATTGAAGTTGGGTTTGAGGCTTGGTTGATACTGAGAAGGAATTTGGGCTTAAGGAACATTCTGATTTTCTTGTTTTATTTCTCTTTTAGTCGCACGGATCGCTAGGAGCATGCTTAGGTCGATCATATTTGGGTAGGCAAACCTTAGGTTTTCTTAATTTCCTTTTTATTCGAGGTGAGAGGTCGTTCCTTTTAGCTTATATTCAAGGGAATGCCCCGCAGATTTTGTATATATTTTTATCCGGGGTATGCGTGAATGTAAAAGGAGGCCGAGGCATCATTGATGGAGCATTAACCTAGCATAGTAAGAACTTGTAGTACTTCTATTTTTATTTTTATTTTATTAGGTGGAAACGACCTCGAGCCTCTTTTGTGTTTATTTTCCTTTTTTTGTATTTTATCTCAATTTGAATAGTTTAAAAGCCAACTAGATCGGGTACGCAACCGTGATTTTTACGAAACTCGGAAAATGCCTAACACCTTCTCCCCGAGTCAAATGAACCCCCTTATCTAGAATCTCTAGTGTAGACTTAGTTTTGGAGTCCAAAGTGTTTTAAAAGAAAAAATTATTTCTAAAAACGGTGACCTGACACACCAAAACCAAATGTCAGGTGGCGACTCTGAAAAATCCTTTAGAACACAATTCTTTGTCACTTTCTAATTGAAAACCCTTTTCAGCTTTACAAATAACTTTATTTATTTTAAAGAGGGTTAGTGAGGTGAAAAAAGGGGTGTGACAGCTCTGGCGACTCCGCTGGGGAGTTGCAGGTTCGAGCAGATACTACGATCTTGTTGGCTTTTAGGATATTTGGTTGAGGTGCTTGTTTTCTTTATTTGCTTTGTTTAGTTGGTTTGTTTGTCTTATTTTCCATTTTGTTGGTTTTTTGCTTATGTGGTTACCATTTTATAACTGTCATCATTTGCATAACCATGTGTCTTCTTTCTGCAACAAGTCTTCCAGAGTACATTTGAGCGTACACGGCCATTTTGTGAGTCACCCGTGTCTTTAGGGGGTGGCGTGGGAGACTGAAGTGGGCGGACAGCTAGAGCAGCCTCCATCGACCACGTGCCGACCCGAATTGCCTTGTCTAGTGAACCCTAAACTTAGGTCAGCCTTTAAGTCATGCTTATTTGCATCATGTCATTTACACTTATCAAGGCTCGGTCCCAGGCACCGTGTCCCTTTTTAGGAGGCCTCTCCAAATTATGTCAAAGTGGGCCCATGGCCTAAAAAGATATTTAATCATTCCTATGTGTTACATGCTGTATTCTTTAAGGGTAAAAAGGTCATTTGGCTGACGAATGTTTGTTGGGTACGAATGAGAAAAAAAGAGGGTGAAATATAAAAATGAAGCAAGTAGGGCCCAGCTATATTTAACTTTTTCAAGAAAACCAAAAATAAATGAAAATGGAAAATTCAAAAAGATTTTACATTTTTCATCATTTTTCAAAAAGACAAAAAATTATGTTTTTCTCCAAATTAGTTTTTTTTTAATTTCTTTCGTGTATCCAATCTTTCAGAACTATGCATACTTGATTCTCGTCTTTCGAGGCGGGATACGTAGGCAGCCCACATAGGGTCCGGTCTTCCTAGTGAGACTTAGGTTCTTGTCTTCGGGGGTCGTAGCCAAATCTTGCCTGTCTAGCCACTTTTTGCCACATCGGTCATTTTGCAAAATAGGGCTATTTTCTTAAAATTGCTTGTTATCCCATGTCTTAGAGACCTAAGTCTACAATAAGGTGTCCTCTCAGTTCTAAGGTCCATTCATGTTGAATTTGCATGTTTAGCCACTTTTGGCCACATCAACCATTCTTGCAAAATGGGATCATTTTGACAAAAGTGGTTCAATGACCCATGTCTTAGGATCTTGAGTATACAACTAGGCGTCACATTACTTTAAGGTCTGTCCTTTTTGAGTTTGCATCTTTATCCACTTTTGGCCATATCGGTCATTTTTGCAAAATCGATCATTTATGCAAATTAATTTTGGGCCATGATTATTGGGAGTTTGAATCCATATAAGTCTTAGTGAGGTATTTCATGTCTTTGAGGTCACCTTTGTTGAGTTTGCGCTTCAAGCCACTCTTGGCCACGTAGGTCATTTTGCAAAAATAGCTCAATCATGCCTTGCATGTGTCCAATAGGAGGTGCCATAGTGTTTTGAGTCAATAACCTTATTTAATCTTATTCTTCTTATTCGGATGTGGATTCATTTGCCAGAGCTCGAGCATGACAGATATCTCAGGACTATCGCATTTGGGAGCTTGTTTGAAGAGACCTTTTATATTTTTGAGTCTTGTCTTGTCTTGTAGTTTTGAGTCTTTTAGGTGGTGTAAGAGTTTGGCGAGTCTTTTGTCATCGTACTTCCCATTTTGTATTTGAAAAAAAAACGGTTATAAATGAAATGTTCAAAAAGATTTTTGTTTTCAGTTTATCTCGTCCATTACTTTTTCAGAACTACGCTTGATCTGATTCATGATGGACATGATACGTAGGCAACCTACATAGGGTTCGATCGAATCATTTAATATAAAAAAAATTGTGGGATTTAAGAAATGAGTGGAAAGGAAAGAGTGGTAATCAAAAAGAAAAGGGAGGAAAGAAATGAAAAACCAAGGGGTGTTAAAGAGAAAAAAATGAAGAGGAAAAGGGGCAAGAAGAGTGAAATTGGGATGATGCCATATGACCTTGGTACCCTCGAAGTCATTTTAGAACCGATAATTCTGACTAGGTGCATTGCACATAAAGTGAGATTATCTTATGTTGAATGCCCTAACGCTAACATGATGACTTCATTTTGTTCCTCTTTGTTATCTTCATTATAGCAGAAGGGTGGTTGGTTTGTGGTTCTTAAAGTGGTAACTCTTCTCTAGAACATAAAGTCGAAAGGCAATGGCAGATGACAACAGAATTGAGTTGGTTGATACTGGTGCCCAAAAGCAACTGGTTGAACGAGACAATGGGTTGGTTGAAGAGGTAAGGATATTAAGACAACGCATGACGGACATATATAAGTCTTGGATGGTTGGGAAGACACCACCCCAGCCACCACCTAGTTTCCTAGATGCTACCCTTACCCAAGCTCCGGTTATAGTGCCAGATGATCCACCATACTCTCCAGATTCTTCCGCTTATCACAACTTTCCCAACCTCCCTAGTAGCTCCATCATTCGTCCTCCAACTATCTTTCCAAAAAATAGCCCTCATGTCATATCCACTACCTCCACCATCACATCTTCTAAACAACCTCTTTTTAGGTCCAACAGTGAACACCAGTTCAAACCTCATGATACCCAATACTACCCTCAGAGTTTGCCCACCAGGTCCCGGATTCATACACTCATAGCCTTCGGAATGAGCCTCATGTTGAAAATAAAAAGTTCACAAGGAGAGAAGAGCGAGGGGAGATATTTAGAAGGCTGAAAGGTATAGAACAATCCTTAAAGAACATACAAGGGATGGGAAATCATATTAACATGTCCTACAATGACTTGTGTATGTTCCCTGATGTTCATCTGCCAGCAGGGTTTAAAATGCCGAAGTTTAACTTGTATGACGGATGTGGAGATCCAGTAGCCCATCTGAAGGGTTATTGCAGTGAAATGAGAACTGTTGGGGAAAAAGATGGTTTGTTGATGACGTGTTTAAGTGAGAGTTTGAGTGGGGCAGCCTTGGAATTGTATACTCGTCAAGATGTCAGTAAGTGGCATGCATGGGATGACATGGCTCAAGATTTTGTTCGACACTTTCAGTACAATATAGACATTATCCCAGACCGCTCCTCCCTATCTAAGATGGAAAAGAAACCCGAGGAAAGTTTTAGGGAGTTTAGGCTCAGATGGAGGGAAGAAGCTGCTCGGGTCAGTCCCCCGATTGGTGAAGAAGAAATGGTTGAGCTTTTCCTACAAGCCCAGGGGCCCACCTACTTCAGTCATTTGATCCCGGCCTTGGGTAAACCTTTCAATGATGTGGTAAAAATGGGGGAGATGGTAGAAGAAGGAATCAAGTCAGGCAAAATCATGATTTATTCTGCATTGAAAGATACTACATAAGACATTCTAAACATCTCAGTAAATTTGGGGGGAAGAAAGAGAAATAGAAAAGATGTTGTTAAACCCCGCCAACGACAAGATCCAGTGGGCATTCCTGCTCAACGCTTTTAGCCTCAATATCGACCCCATGAATATCCTCGTACTCCAGATAATCCTCCCCAATGCTACTTCTCTCCACAAAATCCCCAAAGCTATACCTCACCTTCCCAGTACTCTATCTACAATGCACTGCCATATGTTCCACATCCACAAGACCCGCAATGGCCTGCACCTCCTCCACAAATGTCTTACCCGCCTCCTCAAGCATATCAACCACCTACACGCAAAAGGTTCCAACCGAGGCCAGAGTACAAAATGAAAAGGCAACAACAAAAAGAAAAGACTTTCACTCCTATTGGAGTATCATATGCTAGTTTGTTCCAAAGATTGAGACAATTGGATATGTTGAAGCCCATTCAGATAAAAATGTCGAACCCTCTTCCAAAGAATTTCGATTATTCTCAAAGGTGAGCATATTGCTCTAATGCCCTGGAGCATAGTATAGAACAGTGTTGGCATATGAAAAGAGCTGTCCAGTAGCTTATTGATGTAGGTGACATTACCGTGCAAAATCCAGATGCAGCAGACACTAGCCAAAGTCCATTGTCTGTTCATAATGAGACCCATATGGTGAGTATGATTTGTATTGAAAAGGAATATGAGAGCTCTTCTGAATCCCTTGTAGGGCCACTCGCCGCGAAATTTTCAGTGCTATCAGTCTCAGTTCCAGAAGTTGCTCTTAAGAACGAGACGGCAAAGAGGACCCAAAAGCAATTTGCTGAGGTCAATGTGAAGCAGACTTATGAAGGTCCTAGTAATGTCGATATGTGACTCAGTGGCTAAGATGTAGAGTTTAGTAATTGGAAAGACACTCCTTAATTGGTTAGCCATGAAGGAGCCCTGGTAGTTTATTCTGTCGTCATTTTAGTTGTCCGGGTTATTTCAGGGTTGTAATTCGGATATTGTCTTGCGACTCAAACCCTTCTATCCTTTTATTTTTCCTAGTTCGTTTAGTCGTAGTAACTCATCTAGTGTTATCTAAGATCGTTCCAGGGTTGTAACCCAAGTTTTGTTGTGCTTGTTTCACTGTTCAAAACTTTTCACCTTATGTCTAATGCAATTTTCTATTTTCTGTTATTTCTAGTCCGTATTTGCTTAGTTCTCTTTTTCTTTTATAGTTCTTTTCATGCTGACTCTAGTGACATGACTTGCACGTGGAATTCTCAGCCTGATCTTGAAAGTTAGTCTAATCATGAAACAACAGAGACATTTGATGGATAAGTAAATATGTGGACATTTTGAGATCATTTAAAGCCCAAATTGTGTGAAATTTTGTCACGCACCGAACCTGGGCCTGGACGTAACACGACACTCGGTGCCTGACTACATGTGACTGAGCGAACCAACTGGCTGGTGAATCAACATGTGGTATCATAACATACTGAATGCGGAAGATAAACTAACACATGCTGATATACTGAAAGTGTGGATGATATAAATCAAAGTGCAGAAATACTAATACAATTCTGAAACATATTTGTAGCCAACATAGCTTAATATGAAAAGCATGTGACTCTGTCTAACTGTTATTCTAGTCTATGAAGCCTCTAATGAAATACTGAAAACATTAACTGTCTGAAAATACTGAAGACTGTAAGGTAATGATAATGCCCTGAAAGAATTGGGATCACCAAATATCTGGCACGAGAATCCTAGCACTCGGAATCATCAACCTGTAAATCATTACCTGCATTGTGAGATGCAGGCCCCGGGCAAAAGGGACGTCAGTACATTTGAATTGTACTGGTATGTAAAGCAACTAAAAGAAAGAATTATAAATGCTGAAACTGAAACTAAGCTGATAACTGAGAATTTATAATTGATAACTGAAATGATAAATATTCAAACTGAAACTGAAATGATAACTGATAACTGATAACTGAACTGATAACTGTTACTGAACTGATAACTGATAAGTGATAATTGAACTAATAACTGTTACTGAACTGATAACCGATAACTGAACGGATTACTGATAACTGAACTGAACAAAGGAAGTAAGGATATGAATACTCCCTCTTCTGAATGATGAACAACCTGTTTATCTGAATATTAAACTGCGGCCTCAGGCCCAATATATATATGTGCACAAGCTGCGGCCTCGAGCCCAAGTATACGTATACATAACTGCGACCTCAGGTCCAAAATGCATAAAGCATAAACTGCGGCCTCAGGCCCAAAGATGCATAAAACATAAACTGCGGCCTCAGGTCCAAAGATGCATAAAGCATAAACTGCGGCCTCAGGCCCAAATATAGGTGTTCAACATTCAGGGATTTAAAATCAGGAACTGAGAATCATACTGCAATACATAATAGTAAAATACTGAATCACGCCGAGTTATATGATACTGGAATACTGGATCACACTGAGTTACATTATACTGGAATACTGAATCATACTGAGTTACATAATACTGGAATACTGAATCCTACTGAGTGACATAATACTAGAATACTGAATAGGACTAGAATGAGACATGTATTCTTGAACTGGTTATGAACACTGAAACTTCAACTGTTTATGACGTGCTGAGTAAGCTATACTGAGACTTAGGGACATCAAACCCAAGTCTATATTGAAGACGAACTGAGCTCACAACGTTCAGAATGAAAGTCATGAACGAGTTACGAAGCTAGAGAATAGAAGTTCTACAACTATTCAAGGAACTAGGCTTAGCTATATTTTTGAGGCAATTGATACGTCGTAAAAGAAACGTAATGTAGGGAGAATCATTAACATTCCCAAACATAGAGAGTTAGCCTCACATACCTTAACTTCCTGCTCTTGAGCATAATACAACATTTGCCAACCCTTTCAAGTTCAATCTATATCAATACAAGTCAATGGGATTCCAAATTAGCAACAATAGTCATGTTTTGCTCACATTTTATCAAACACTTAGTGGCATAAAGCTTCATAGCCCTTATTAATGATGTCTCTACACCCAATAACCCATTATCTTGCTCCTAGATAAATTCTAAAGTCTCAAATGGTTATAATCAACATTATTCTTTATCACCCATAAGGTAATCAACACCCATAACCAGTAATAACCAATCAACAACCCAAACCTGTAACCGTTCATACTTTGCTATCAAACCCATCAACTCATATGTCATTAAATAGAGTCTATAATCATTAATCAATGATAGAATCAATTAGAGGGTGAAGATATTACCTTTTCGACGTTCAATCTTCTTGAATTCGAGTTCTAGGGTTTCTTCTCTCAACAATGGTGTCCCAATCGAATATCTAATGATATGGAGGTTTTACCCATG